GCCGGAGGGGTTCACGGCACCCGGCTCGCGGCCGCAGGGTACTCACCGTCCACGCAGGAGGGAGCTGCCCGCGTCGTCCCTGCCACCTGCCCCGGGAAGCAGGAGCATTTCACCGTCTGGGAGCGCTCCTCGATCTTGTTCTTATTGCAGCACCTGTGAGCTGCAATGACTTCGCACGTGCCGGGCTCTACGTGCACTGTGGGAGCAGAAATGGTCACCATCACGCAGGGCTGCGCCCCGGAGCCCCCAGACCACCTCCCGCTCACCGTCCCGGCGTGGGCAGCGCTGTCCTGGCCTCTGGCAACGGTGCCCGGGCTGCTGCTGACACACACACGGCTCAACCCAGCATCTCCCCAGCACCCCCATAAGGAGAAGCACTCATCCTGCTCCAGATCTCCTGCACCTGAGCTCCTGCTCCTAACCAGCCTCCACACCCATCCTAACCAGAAAAATTAAGAGCCAAGCCAAGAGCTTTACTGAACTGAACGAGCACATTAATTAACTGCAGGTGATAACGAGATGCACACTTTGCTGCAAAAGGGGATGGTGCATCATGCTGCCTTTGGCTTCAAACAGTACCACCACCTCCGACCCCAGCTAAAATGAACCGTGTCTCGCCAGCACGCTCCATCCTCTGGCTGGAGGAGGGAGGACCAGGACGGTGCTTCTGCCCTGCGGTGACACAGAAATGTCACGGTGTTCGTCAGGAACCCAGGCTGCTCTGCTGCTCCCCCTCCCAGTGCCATTAAAATATTAAGGAAGAAAGAAAACGAATGTGCTGGCTGATCACCTCTGGGATCCGGGTTTAGAAGCTAGTTAGCATCGCAAATCAATGACTTCTGCTGGGTGAGGGCCCACACAAGCACAATACAAATTAGCCAAACAGGGCTACAGAGACTGCGCTCCACGACCCGAGAGCGGGTGATCCCTGCGGGTCCTGTTTAACGAGCACCGCCGGAGCCAGCGCAGAGCCACGCACCGAGACACCCCCGGCTCGCTGGGAATGGCCTTTTATTTCCACAGCGAGCGGGAGCCAGGCTGTGAGGACGGGGAAGCTGCGTTTCCGCAGTGTGCCATCTCGAAACACGTGCAGACGAGCACGCATCCCGCTCTGCACCCCAGCTCAGGAGCACACCCGGCCCCGCTTCTGCGGGCAGCAGAGCAAGTGCTGCTGCTGCTGGAGGTACCCGCGAGCACCAGCCCACGCTCA